GAATAATGACTGGTTCTAGTGATAGTGATAGCAACAGTGATATGTGAAATATATAATGTGAATAATGTGATATGTAAGTATTTAAATATATTAATAGTGAAGTGATTATGTGGCAGTGAAGTGAAAGTGTGACAGTGATAATATTCGTGAGATAATTATTATAAAATATGTAAGTACCTACTTAAATAAATATATTAATAGTTAACATTACAATATTTTGCGGCGGCGCGGCGTAAGCCGGGTGGTGGTGGGTTATCGATGCCCAAGAGGGCATCGTTTTATAGAAAACACTTAAAATTTAAAAACAAAATGTTACTAAAATATTTTTGAAGTTTTTTCGATAAAACCTCTAAAAATAATAGATGTTATGTTTTATTATATTTTTTCCATATTTTCTACATCTTGTTGCCTTTTACGTATACACGCCTATGGATTTCGATCCCCGCACGCCTCATCCTCCTTACTAGTCCAAGAGCTAGCGATGAATCACTATCTATAATTTCGGCCGTCGAGTATAGGTACATATCATTTGAATGTTTTTCAGGTACAAATTATTATTTTTTTAGGGTGCACTATTTTATTGGCATGGTTGTGTTTCCTTAACTTGAGAAATTGAATCTATTTAATTTTAATAAGTTCATAATTTCGAAAGCAATTTGTTGGAAAATTAAGATCAATGAAATACAGAAACAGATACGCATTTGAACACAATTGTCTTAAGTTATAATACAATAGAAGCAAAAAAAATTAAGAAGTCGGGGACTGACTAAAGATAGTTATATGGAAAGTTAAGCCGGAAGTCTATAAAATTTGATTTATAGCTAAAATGTGTTTTCCTTATAATTATGTTTTATGTATTTACATATCAAATTTCTCCCAGATCAGAAATATAGGAAATAAAAAAAAGGTGCACTTACGAATTTGTAATTCAAATTTGTTTATCTGGACTACGGGTTTTCACACTTTTAACGTACAAGAATTTAATTTAAAATCTTTTAAATAAACATTTTTTAATAACAAGAAATTAAGTAGCCCATCAGGCAAGTATATACTTAGTAGGCATTATTTTTTCTAAGCCTCTTTTTTATAGTGTCCAATATGATATTTTACCTTGACAATTAATGAAGATTTAAAGATTTTCCTATTTCTACACTCACGGACTGAAGCCAATATTGAATATGTGAGCAATGACGTGTACCTATGTATAAATATTATCATGAAAAAAGATTTTCAGCGTTCTACTGAAGTATACATAGCGACTAATCCGTCCAGTCGTTTGTGACCTTTATGACAGTTCAGAATATCCGTAAGAGGATGAGCCAGGATGTAGGTAATAGGATGTTAGGTCCACGTCCACCATCAGGCTTCTCTACTTGAAAGGATTCTCTCTTCGACGCGGAGTCTGTCTGTGCGATGCGGCGTTGTGACACTTGATATCGGGGTCCGTTCGATTCTTTTACATTCCGACGTTACCCATTTTACGTCATTAAAGCTTGAAAAATCGTGCAGTCGCATCCAAAACTCCTTTTATAAAACACTATATTACAAATTCCAAGAATTTAAAATAATGAATTTTAGGAAGAATTACGATAAAAATAATAACTAAAATGAACTGCATTTGTGCGATTTACGCTTATATTGTTTTCCTTGTATA